TGACTTTAAATATATATATATATATATATTTAAAGTCACAACCCCTGGTATGCCCAAATATGGGAGGAAGGTCACACTTCCACTCTCTGTCTTCGGCTCGTCACAAGAGACCATCCAGACAGAAACCCAATATTTTTTACTGTTGCCTTTTTATTACATTTGTTATATTTATGCTGATAAATAAATAAAGGGAGACTAGTATAGATCTATTTCAAGCTATTTAGCTCTCATCAGCTAGCCACACCCTTACTGGGAATCGAACCTGTGCTCTATTGCCTCTAAGGCAGATGTGTTAACCATTGAGCTACAGGGCTCGACTCCTTATCAGCGAGGCCAGGGTGAAAGGTATATATTTAAAGTCACAACCCCTGGTATGCCCAAATATGGGAGGAAGGTCACACTTCCACTCTCTGTCTTCGGCTATATTTGGGCATACCAGGGGTTGTGACTTTAAATATATACCTTTCACCCTGGCCTCGCTGATAAGGAGTCGAGCCCTGTAGCTCAATGGTTAACACATCTGCCTTAGAGGCAATAGAGCACAGGTTCGATTCCCAGTAAGGGTGTGGCTAGCTGATGAGAGCTAAATAGCTTGAAATAGATCTATACTAGTCTCCCTTTATTTATTTATCAGCATAAATATAACATATATATGAATATATATATATAATTATATATATAATTAGATTTTTTATATTAGATTTATCAGCACAAATAAAAAAAACAAATCAAATCCCTGATAAGTAACGAATTGTTTGGTTTGGGTTCTGCATAACACAAGGTGTAAAGACAACTATTGATTCCAGGCCTAATTATTTTCTAATATAGTTATTTATTTTGTTGCATTTCTTCTGAATTTTATTCAAGAAAGTCTTTACTTTGATATGTTTGAAAATATGGAATAGTTCAAAGGTTCCATTTTTCAGAACCAAATGAACACTTGATGATTGAAGCATGTGAAACATTTGCAACCGAATCCAATGTCACTGAATTCAAGCCGAACAAAATTGAAGCAAATATAAATGACTGTATTCCAACTCATATAAGAATTTTTTTCTTTCTTAAAAAGGGTGCTTTTTCAAATGATGAAGAAGATTATTCAGTACATTAAAAAAAATATCTCTTTTAGGTTTGGTTTATTAATCTTTTAAAAGATTAATTAGTTTCCAAATTTGGAAAGAGCAAAAGAATAATAAAGGTAAACATAAATTAAGATCCCTAGGAAGGAGTGTTCTGTGTTGCTGTTTTTTTACAACATGCTGTAAAAAGCCCTTGGCTGTTGCTTTAACCTACCTTGACATCCATGGGCTTATAATCATGCCACAGAGATTTACTTGGCTGAACTGGCTTGGCTGTGATGTAACTGATAAAGTTTCCATTTTCTACAAAGTCATTCACAGCTCTTACAGCAAATGTTGCTCTTGCACAGCTGCCTTCTCTACAGGGCCTTTGTTCCAGATCCACATGGCATGTTGAAAGGGCTATGTTCGGTGTCCTTTCTAGCAAGTTATCTTTTTAAAAAAGCACAAAAACATATTGGATAAATTTATAACACTGCAGAGAATTTACTGGTTGTATTTTTCTGTTAGATAAATGATGTTGGATGGTCTTCTCTGTGTGATAAAAATAATTATTGCTGTACAGTACAGCATCATTTTGTAACAGAAACAGACTATAATGCAGGAAAAAATAGCAATAAAAACCAAATATATATCTCAGCAAAATTAGTTGATCTATTTAAAAATATCTATGTCTAACCCCATGCCAAATAGAGGTTCTCAAGGATTCACAATACAGTTTACCAAGTAAAATAATAAAGTATTTCAACCCATGAAAACATTAACATTTAAAAACAGAATTGTATGGCTTCCTGTGTAAAGTAAATATCTAGGGCTATATGCTATTGTTCCGCATCCATGGCTTTTAACTCTATCCATTGGGTGGATGTTGCAGAAAACAGTGGATTCTTCAGTTGCCTCACTCTTAGAGCAAAAGAGTGAAAACTTCTTCCACTTCCCGCTTTCCAGTATCTGAGACTGGTTCTTTTCTGTTCAAGGGCAAAAATGAATGAGACACAGATATAAGCAGTGGTGGGATTCAGCCAATTCGCACGTATTCAGGAGTGTTTAGAATGTTTATTATAATTTATAGGCCGCCCTTTTCCCTGAGGGGACTCAGGGCGGCTTACAAAACAGAACCGGTTTTAACTTTCTAAGCAGTTCAGAGAACCGGTTGTTGGAAGAAATCTCATTTTGGTTTTTTTCTACTTTACAGGGCTAATCCTGTAACGAAGGCAGGAAGGAAACATTCTAGTGTTGTTTCTAGCATAATCTTTATTGCCCTGCTTACAGAAACTGCAGGTTAACCCTTATTACATTGTAACAGCTAAGGTGAAGCTTCAATTGATGTGAGTGATGTTGAGTTGGCCACGCCCACCCAGTCACATGACCACTGAGTCTCGCCTACCCAGCTGATCAATAGGGCAGAGAACCAGTTGTTAAATTATTTGAATTCCACCACTGGATACAAGGCCATTTATCTTCAAGCATTTGCCACTGAGGGCAAATTGTGTGAGTTCTTAAACCTGTGCTTATTATTTACTATATCACAAAATTAAGGAAAATGGATCTGAGCCATACATTTAGGATCAGAGTTCTAAAACAGGAAACTTATATAGGTATGCTTTATCCATGTGTGTATATATGTATATTTAATAACTGATAATGAAGTATGGGAAGAAATTATTTTTCCAAGCTAAACTAACACAAAGTATCATTACATTAAGATTTTTGAACCCATTTTTTTCTATTTCAATGTACATTTCAACCACACCAGCTTTATAAAACCTAACATAAAGGTTATATATTAGCTATCATGAACATTAACTTCTAATGTTAATAAAAATGAATAAATTCCTTAATGTATTACATCACTCAACGCATGACACACTTTTTTTCTCATCTGTTTGGTATTAAAGCTATGAAACATATTTTACTTCTGAAGCATTTTACCACCCCTGTGTTTCTAGATTCATTACAGGTATGGTGACTTCAGGAAAAATGGACAAAAATATGGCAGGATATATGCTACCTGACATAAGGTACTTACCAGAAATCTGAGTGCTTAGCTGTAAAGTAATTTTACAGATGTCATCCTGGGCCAAACATGTAATAGGAATGGTACTTAAGATTGTCAAAATATGTTCCTTTCCATCTTTTGCAATTTGTAAAGATTCTGGTACAAACTGGAAATACAGACAGGTTATCAATCTTAGATTAAGCTCATATCAAGCCCTAATCCCTCCTCATGGGAAATGGCTTCTTATTTAAAGGCAAACCTTTAATTTTTCTACCTTTGAGACCATGAAGAAAGGAAGAAGATGTCATTAATTATAAAACCTCTTAAGTAAAAAAGACAGCCTAGCCAAAACATACTGGGGCCCTAGGAGTAATTCTAAGAGCATCCTAAGAACATCAGTTTAACCATACTAAGGTCCATAATCCCTTATTTAATCATCAAAGCCCAGATCAACTTTTAATTTCAGTTTCCCACAAAAAGTCCAATAATAATATCTCTTCAATCATTATTTGTTAACGAAGCCACAACTGATTTATTTAGTTGCACCAAACTCTAAATAAAACAGGAATAGAAACTCCTAAACTCTAGTGTAGATCCATGCTTCTCAACTTTGGCACCTCAACTTTAAGGTGCATGGACTTCAATTCCCAGGATTCCTCAGGCAGCATGAAGTTCGCCTATCTGAAACTTGCTAAGACTGAAAAACACTGATCTACAGATAGGGATTTTTCCATTCCTTTTTTACTGGTTCCTACTTACTTATGAGCAATCATAATTCCAAGTCCCCATTTCCAATTCACCCCACAGTTATAATCATGCAAAATCCTTATGTCCAATTCACCCTAGAGTTTGGGGCCTGGAAGGCCTCCTGCCCCTCCTTGGAAGCCAAAATGAGGGGCGAGGGACAGTGTGAGCACACACACCCGTGCCCCATTTTGGGCCTGGATGGCTTCTTGCACCAACCTGGAAGCCAAAAGGGGTTTGCAGGGGGACTCCTAAGAGGGGCAGGGTGGGGTGGGAGGGGCCAGCCAGAAGTGAGATTAGTCGGTTCTCAGAACTGGGCAAAAAGTTAAGAACTGGTTTGCCTGAACTAGTGCGAACTGGCTGAATCCCACCTCTGTATTTATGTATGTATAATATATGTCCCACATACATACATACATACATACATACATACATACATACATACATACATACATACATTTAAGCATTACAGATTAAAGAATTAAGGATTCTTTTTCTCAAATTACTATGCCTTTCATTTTCTTTGTCTTCAAGTATACCAATTTTCACTGGGGAAAGGTTTGCTGTTCTTTTTTTCTTTCTGCCTTTACCCTCTTGGTTGCTCTTACTGCTACATTGGCAAGTTAACAAGATTTTGGATCAATGTCCTCGCAAGATGAGGTAAAATTGTTATTTTGGTGGCTCCCTGAGATTTCTGCTGAGCTCTAAACCATTCAGTCAAATTAGCCACTGTAACTGCTTATTAAATAGACATTGACTTAATTTCCAAATGCTACCTTTTGCTTTTGAACATCTTTGGTAATTACAAAATAATTTTCAGGTGTTGTTGGGTAATTGTTTCTTTTTTCTGTTGCAGAAAGTGGAGAAAAACCTTTGAAAAATTATATTAACTAACAGCATGGAACCGACTGGTTTAGTGCACTGCGTAGTGCTAGTAGTGAAAAAAAAAGTTAATTAAAATGTGCTGGAGTGTATATTACAATAATTAGCTGGTCATGTTGCTTGTCTGTTATTCTACTTTGAATGTTGAAATGAATAGAAGAGCAATTTATATGAACATGAATATGATGATTTGACCATTCATCAAGCCACCTGACTAAAATTATCTATTGACTGAAGTGTCAAGTTTTTTTCTCTTCTTCATTCTTAGATCCTAGCATGTTTCTCTTTTATTAGAGATGTTAAGACAGTGTTAAGAATCTGGTTCTATGGATTCCAACTCTAATATCTGACCATCAGTGATCTTGGCTGCAGCTGATGAATGATCAAGTTGAGTAGTATGTGGAAACACCAAACATTTCACAATTTTTTGGCTAAGGACTGCCTCACGATTTTTTAGATTGCTAGCCAGACTGTTTTATGCCTTTCTGGTTTGTTCATTATTTACAAAAGCAAACTATAACTGATGCATTCTGAATCAAGGTTATGTTGACAACAGCATAACTGACTTCTATCATTCTACATTTGCTACCCTGTTATAATCTTAACGTGGAAATAAATATAAATATAGTAGTTGTTGATACATAGCAAATAAATATGGGCAACTATAATTCAAAATAATGATACCCACCTTTCCGTCTGACACAGGTGTAAACATTAATTTTAAAGATATTAAGCCAAAGTGATTTTAAAACAGTGTTATATTTCATGACTCTAATCAGAAGACAATGAAATGGGAAAAGTTCAGAGGATAGCATTTATTCACTTTCTTCCCTATCCAATAGATGAGAAGAGTTTTTTTTTACTTGCTGAAAACATTTAAATATAGGAGAAAAACTGTGGAAATTGAAAAAGAATAAGAAACACAGTATATGACCAAGTATAATACATCCCAAATGTAGAGCATAACTGTGCTTCAAAACATCTTCAAGGCAGATCTGGTTGAGATTAGAGGGTAAACAAAAGATTTCACCCATCTATGATGTTTGAGCAGATTATTGCATTCTATCAGGGGAAGAAAATAATTTTATACATATAAATAATGCCACATTAGCCAAAGCTGTGATTATACTATTAAGTCAAAGGCATAATCACACAGATGATTATAAAGCACAGCAATTATTCTATAAAAGTGTTGGATTTAAAATACATTAAAAGGTGAGAGAGTGTTTAAAATGTTTATCCAATTAAAATTACTACTTTCACTCATTTCCTATTTTAGGAAGTTTTATCATTGTGCTGTTGAAATTGTATATCAGTTTTTTAACCTGTTTTTATTACTTGAGAAGTAATTCAAGATGGCAAAACCTACACAACACTCCTTCTTCCTCCTATTTTCTCCACAACAATCACTCTGTGAGGTAAGCTAGGCTGAGTGATTGATCGAAAGTCAGCCAACCAGTTTTCATGTCTAAAATGGGACTAGAATTCACCATCTCCTGGTTTTTAGGCTAGCACAGTGAGTCTCAATCTTCCTAATGCCGCGACCCTTTAATACAGCTCCTCATGTTGTGGTGACCCCCAACCATAAAATTATTTTATGTTTTCAGTATTTTTTTGAAAATATGTGTTTTCCGATGGTCTTAGGTGACCCCTGTGAAAGGGTTGTTCGATCCCCAAAGGGGTCCCGACCCACAGGTTGAAAACCACTGGGCTAGCACCTTACCACTGCACCAAACTGGCTCTCATGACATTTCACAAAGGAGAACCAAAAGAGGGGCTTAAAAATTGCACATGAGCCAGGTGATGAACAATAGCTTCCTTGATATGAAAGAGAATTTGACTCCCATTTTTGTAAAAGAATCGTGCCTTTCAGAAAATTCAAAAGATTTGAATGCTAATCCCATGCCAGACACAGTTTATATTATATTGCATAGTATGAATCTGTCCTGATAGCCAAATATTACCATAACTATTTATTTGCACACAATTATACATACAGCACCATACTACTCAGGTGAATGAACATGGGAGTATTTTCGAATACATTTTTTTCCCACCTAAAACGCTGCAGCTGTTAATGTTTTAAAAGACTGATAGAATGATTGATAGAATGGCAGGCAATTTATTCAAACATTTTCTGCTTCACCACCTAGAAGCACCCTTCTTATAATCACTAAAGCCAATTTTATGGTGTGTTGTCTTGCGAAACAAGATGGCTAATATAGAAATCTCCATCATGGCTATGCTAGAGAAGTTTATGAAATTAGATGTTGTGTTGGTTACCTTGATTCCAGCATAGAATCCATCGCTTTCCTCGGGGAGAGAGTGATGATCAGATGAGTCCCACCTGAAAGCTGTGACAGTGCAAAAGACCTGCAATAAATAAGCCAACTATTTCAAAAACCCCTTTCCACTCTTTTTTTAATGACAGGTTTATGAAAAATGATGGAAAATGTACTAAGCGATTGTTAGATTACACTTTATAAAAACTTATTTTGCTGCTCTTTGTCCTTAGCAATTGTAGACCTTCACAAAAGGTAGGCAGCGCCCTTCCCTGTCAAATTGAAAATGCACAGGGGTGGGCTTCCAAGCACTAAAACTGTGAAAATTTGTTCAAATAAATATCTATATGTGGCTTTTAAAGTTGCTAAAGCTGTTGCCAAGCCAATTCAAAATGCACAGAATGCTCAAGAAGTCTTTGACCTTCAGAACTAGGACATCTGCCAATATGTGTGAGATTGGGCGAAACAGTTGTGCAGCATTTTTTAAGCTGCAGCCCTGCTTTATCACTTTAAGCAACAAAAAAATTATCCTTACAATATCAGCTATATTTTCTCACCCTCACATCCCTGATGCTTCTGTGCATTGCTTTTCATAAAAATAGAACTGGAGAGCACAATGTTACGGGGCTCAGATATAGGGAATGGATTATGTAGTAGTAGAATCAATAAAGAGAAATGGATTGACATTTTCAAGGCCATCTATTCCCATATAATTGCCCTATGCTCTTAAGTCATCAGTGGGGCACCTTTTCCAGGTGGTGCTACAGATATGCTGTATTTCTGAACAAATATTACCATCGGAGCTAAGATTGTTATAGTTTATGAGGTTTTTTTTTTTTTAGCCCAGGTTTTATGCTGCTGATTTTATGATTGCTGGATGGATCATATTATTTTTTTCGATGCTTCCAAATTGTCTAGAATCGCCAAAGCTGAACAGGATATGTTATTGTTTTTCTTTTAAATTGCTCTTTTGTGCCACATTTGGATCAATAAATGGGTGGTTTTGGTAGTCATCAAGGACCTACTGGATTTGATTTCAAACTTTGGATGGAATATCTTTGAATAGCAATGTTTTTGGCTAGATGGCAAACCAATTGTGAAAAGCTATAATTCAAAGTGCAAAGATTTAAGTATCATTGAGGAACGCATCTATATAGGGTAATCTTTTGGTCCAGGGGAGGAAGAAGCCAATCACATATGCTATTTTTAATATTCTATTGTACCAGGAATACAGAATATCAATGTTGTACATAAAATAATACATGGCCTTTTCGAAAGTGCACTTCCTTCTTTCTTGGACTATGTGTTTATAGTGTAAGTTAAACATTAGAAGCTATTTGCCTACAGTTCAAGCTAATTATATGTGCTTGAATAATAGCAATACATGTCTTCTCTCCAATGAGGCAACAAAGCTCCTGTTCTCCTCAATATCTCTCCCATAATTTAGTCAATACACCTTTCTTGAAAAAAAAATCTGTTCACACTGACTAATTGTAGTTTTTTTTTTCTTTTGTAAAACAAGGTCAAAATGTATATTGGCTGTCCAGGATATGCATCATTATTAGAATCTGATGTTCCTGGAACATGCTCCTTAGAAAACAAATCTGATTCCTTGCTTATTCATCATTAAGTGATGCAGTTATTAAGTGATATCCAATTTTATACCTTATCTGAGGCAATTAAGCAAATCACTGTGGTTGTTAAAAGGGGTATTAGATAATTGCGATTTGTGATCTCCTCTGCCAGTTTTCCCCTTGACATTGTTTGTTGGAAGCTGACTGGGGGGGCGGGGGGATCACAAATGGAAAATATATGTCCATTGCCAAATACCTAAATTATGATCATATGACTACACCGATGTTACAATGGTCATAAATGGAACAATTGATTATAAGTCACTTTTTCAGCACTGTTGTAACTTTGAACCTGCAACAGAGTTCTCTAGCATCTCTTATTTGTTGCTGTAGAAATTATTAAATTATTTTTTAAAAAAATCTCAGCACAAAGCTTGGCTATCTGACAAATTCAGGGAATTGAAATTTATACCTCTGAAAGCTGCACAGACTGTGAAATATTGTATTTCTATATGTGAAGTTTATTCCTTTGTAAATTTAGAACTTCTCCTCCTCCTCCTCCCAATAGGTAGACATACATTTAAATCACTGGTCTATAGTCTTGATCATGTACCACAGAATTGTTGGGATATGTTTTCTTACAAGCTTCCTGCCTTTAGCTAAATATTGTCCTAGTGTTTAACTAAGCAATCATAGGTTTCCTCCCTCCTTTTATCATTTCCAAAGAAAAGGGGGGTGGTGGTGGAAAAGATACTCCACAGGCTATGTGAAGACAACTTTGACTGTGGGGATGAATATTTTATCCCTAAAGCTTCTCAATAAAATAAAATCCTTCTTATCCCTAAATTTTAAAAGTATTAAAAGGGATTGGTTTATTTAAGCTAAACATATCATTGAGATCCAGAACTGTAGCACACCTACTGAGATGTGGAAAAGGAAGACACCTATAGATATCAGGAGGATTGTTTTATGATGGAGTTTGAGAAATTGGCAATGTGTGCAGATTTAATTTTTCTATGTGTGCCTTGTTGTGCAGTCATAATTGCATTCTTATTGGGGTGGTGGTGGGTTGTTTTTGGCAGCAATCCCTTGTACATAAATTTGACAAGTTCACATGATTTGTTAGAATAATAATTGGAAAAGGCAGTTTAAGCCATTAAGCCCAACTGTCAGGACAGGAATCAAAACTAAGTATCCATAACACATAGATATTCAGTCTCAGCATGCTGCAAGGAGGAGTGTGCTATGCTTGTTAATGAAGGTCCCCCCCCACCCTGAACATTTAAGTTGGAATATGTCTTCCATGTCCACCATTCTGACATGAAATTTTAATTCTGACATTCTGATATAGACTGCCTGGAGTCTTCTCTCTTTTCTCTTCAAAGGCAAATATTTCTAGTTCCTGCAGGCTCTCCTTATAGCTCTTGGTTACTATTCCTTTAATTATTGTTGTTCTTCATAGATATGCCTAGTAACCGACAGAGGAACAAATGATCGGAAAATGAGCATAGAAAATTATAGCAGAAAGTGAGTAAGAATCTGGTTTTTGTCTACTTTTCTGTCTGACACATACAGAGTTCTATATGGGAGAGGCTGACCCATCTGCAAATTATATCCTTGCCCTCTTTGGATGATATGTAGGGCCATAAAGGCACAAAGTTATGAATGCTTGGGGATGATGTTTCCTGTCTTTAACTATTATTTCTTGATCCAATCATCCTAAATGTGTGTCTCTCTTTGTGTGTGTCTGTGTTGTGCACACATGTGTGTTGTGGGGGAGGGAATAACATTGTATTCCATGTTATGTAATTTCTATTATTGAAAAGAACAAATAAAGCTTATCAGAGGAGGGAGAGGGATTTTTAGCACGATAGGTTTTAGACAGAACTATCTATAACAATTACAGCAAGTCAAAATAATATGAATTGGAAATTATGCTTGATTCAGAGAGGGTGGTTTCAAGATTTGTTTTCATTCAAGCCATCCACATCCCTTGTTGTGGAATTTCACTGTGAAAATTCATTTTTTTAAAAAGCAGAACTCTTTCTGAAAGCAATATTTAATACATCAAGAATGATTGTACTTCAATCAACAGTTAGAATTAAAAGTGTGAGAAAGGGAAACTCTCTCTCTCTCTCTCTCTCTTTTATAGTGGAAGCAACTCAAGTAATTACCTTTCTTTCTAATCTACAGAGATAAAATCACTATGGAATTTTGTTCAAGGGGTTGTTATTTTTCAGTATTTGGGGGAAGAGTCACCATCATAATTGAAAATATTGTAACTCTTCAACAAGATGGCCAATGCTAATAACAAACTAAAAAGCAATTTTACATAAGCCTTTTCTAAAGTGCATGGCATCTCATGGCATGAACTTCCAAACTGCTGTGCAGAGCAAAAAAATGACCATTTTTTTCCTGGCACATCCTGCTTTCTTAGCATTACCCACTGCGCACATACTACCGGCTGCAATTTACAGATGGCTGTCCCTCCAGGTATAGAATGACCTCTGTCAATATCATCTAAATAGATCTTGGGATTGCTACAATTTCAAATCAGATGGAATGGGCTATCTTGAGCATTTACCCAAGGGAAAAATAGCATATTACAGATTTATTTATTAAAGGTGCAGGAGTTTTGCTAGCATTTGGCTGTCAGCCGAGTTCAAATAGCATAACTGTACAAAGTTGTGATTTTTCTAAACATTATGAGGAAATGGTATTGGCTATTTACAGATATGGTAATAAAAGTTCAAACTCCGTGGACTAGTCAAACTCAAAGACTCTGGTTAAGGGATGAACATCTTGATATTGGGTGTGAACAATATTACTAATGAAAATTTAAATGAATGGACAGTAGTTCAGATGTGTCAATCATATGGGACCAGAATGTTAATTTTTAAGCTCCCAGGTTTTTTTGGGGGGGCAGCTTTTGAGAAATAAGTAGCACAGAAAAGTACAGAGGTATTTGGAAATTATATTGAATAAATACAAAATTGGCTGTTACAATTAATAACTCCAGATGCCTTTATTTGCAGCACCCACCATAGAAAGGCTGATTTGGATAGATCTTAATCTTAGCTGACCACTAAAGAAGGTCAAGTAGGATGTCACAAAACCCTGTCAATTCTGATATTACATCAATCATATTTTACTATTGCTGGTAGAAATTAAAGGCAGTAAAAAACATGCTTCACTTGTATACACATGTACATCTTGCTTTAGTTTATAGCATTAAATCACTTTGCATGCAATATTTTGTAAGCCTTAAAAAATGGATAAAAATGCCTATTTTATTTCAAAATTGTAGAAAGGGAATGATAGGAGAAAGGAGATCTTGTCTATCAGGAAATAGGTAGGATTCCAATTTATTTTTGAAGTACCCTCCTAAGAAAACTGAGTGTCAACATACTTAAATATTTGGATTTTAGTTTGCTAAGTCTTTTTAATTCATTAGACAGAGTAAATGACAGAATATATGGCATATCTCCTTAAGTGTGAATAAGGGATAATTAAGAATTAAGACAGAACTTCCAAATATTTTCATCAAATGAAAAATCTGAAGAAAGAATGATAGACTAGCAATGGAATAGGAAGCCAATTTTAGTTTTTCAAGCAGAAACCAGGGCCAAATTTATATGAGGCTTTGAACACATAATCCTCTCTTTTAGGAGCTTATTTTGTTTATTATCTGTCATGATCTGAGACCACAAAACTATTTGTGCTATATATTGTGGTCTACTATGGACATCTGCTGTTATTTGTAGGAATATGGGATTCATAACTTTTTAGTTCTTTCTATTATTGGCAGATTTTTTAGAATGTTATATAATTAACAATGTGTTATATCATTGACTCATTTATGTGAATTCATGAAAACAAAATTTTGGAGATCCACTTCTGGAATCCAGTTGGTTCTCTGAAATTACAGTCAACCAGAAATGGAAAGAAATCTAGTGTTTTTATTAAGTTTTATTTTCATTTACAGTAAATACTAAGATTTGTGTTGTAGGTATTTAGCTCAGGTTACCAAACTGCTTTTTGGTCATTACAATGCTCTAAGGAGGTAGAGTGGTTTTTATTCAACATGAACCACAGTGTCACAGTGGTTAGAATGCAGTATTGCAGCTGCAGGCTACTTCTGCTGACTGCCGGCTGCCAGCTGCCTGCAATTTGGCAGATTGACTCTCACCAGGCTCAAGTTTGATCCTGATGGGGCTGGAGGTTGACTCAGCGTTCCATCCTTCTGAGGTCTTCTGAGTAAAATGAGGAGCCAGATTATTGGGGGCAATATGGTGACTTTGTAAACCACTTAGAGAGGGTTGTAAAGCACTATGAAGTGGTATATAAGTCTAAATGCTATTGCTATATGATCTATTGTTACCTATTTACCTGTTTTTAAAGATGTACGGCTATGCAGTACAACATTTTTTTGATAAATGAATTAGATTGCGTTATAGTTCTAAACTTAATAAAATATACTCAATGGATGATACAAGAATGGTGGGACTAATCTCCGGGGTGGGGGGGATGAGTCTGCCTATTGAGATGAGGTAGAACGGTTGCTTTCATGGTATTGAGACAATAACTTGGTGCTTAACACAAATAAACCTATAGTGGACTATTGAAGGAAGAGATCAGACATCTAACCCTTGCTTATCAATGAAGACTGAGTAGAACAAGTGGCCAGTTTTAAGTTTCTGGGGGATATCATAAGAGAGGACCTGATCTGGGCACTCATACTGCAGCACTGTCAAAAGGGCCTAGCAGAGATTATACTACCTGAAACAACAACTGAATGAAAAACTGCTGGTGGCCTTCTACCACTGCATTTTAACTCACTGCATCTATGTATCTTTGCCAATTGCATAGTGGCAGATAGGACAGCACTCCAGAGGGGCAATGTCATTGCCCAGAGGATCATTGGTTGCCATCTCCCCTCTTTGGAAGAGCTTTATAGCTCCCGCTGACTTAAGAAAGTTCAAAACATTCATCCTGGGCACCCTTTTTTTGAACTATTACCATCTGGCAGATGGTACAGGATAATAAAACAAGGACAAATAGGCTGAAAAACAGCTTCTACCTGAGGGCAGTAACTATTTGGAATTCTATGGTGTAGTGCAATATCAGGTTTTCAATTTCAATTATATAGAATGTAAAGGATGCATGTTTGTGTTTTTATTTTTATAATTATAATGTACACTGAAGATGGCATTTAATTTTATTGTACCATGTACAATGACAATAAAGTAAACTAACTAACAATCCTATTACATTAAAATGCATTGTTTTTTGGACTCCATGTTTTACCTTCAGGCCAAATTCAGGCTCAAGATATGAGAGTTAATAAGAACTAAAAAAAAACAAAACACTACAGAATGATTGTCTTTCTTGACCTTGTCTTGTTAGTTCAAGAAAGCTTTACCGTATCTCCCAATCTGAAATTAATTCCATCCATCTCCACATAGGAGAATATCTGTCCAGTTGTGTCATGATGAAGCTGTTCTTTCACATTGGATGTAGAAAGCCGTGACCAGATCACTGTATAGCCCATAGCCCAATTTGAAGTTGGACTGCTGAAAGTGCATTTTAGGTAGACCTTGGACCCCCAAAACTCAGGAGTAACAACTGGGTGTAAAGCTGGAATCTGGAATTTCCCTAGGTGGGAAGAAAAGCAGACTGTTATATAATGCATAGGAGTTAAAAAAATAAATAATTCAACACAGTTGAAATTATAAATGAGTCAGTACTATAGAACTGAAAAAGACATATAAAGCCCTATGTTTTCTGAATGAAAATTATACATTTATACTATGATATATTATGAGAACTGAAGAAACTTCCTGGATGAGAAGTAAAAAAAAAAAATTAAAGAAAACCCAGAAAGTCCAGTTGCCTTTAAAATAAAAGCATCTTTGGGACAACCATAACCGGGTGAACTTCTGAAGACATTTTTACTATGCAATTTTTGCAGACAGGTAAAGACTGAATAGTTGCAAGTTGTGACTAAACTGAGTAGTTCAATGTAACAAGGTAGTAAGAAATGTTTATCAAAGCATTTCCAGTGATTGCAAACGAAAGAGAGGTTTGCTTAGTAATCCTTCAATATCAACAAGGGAGCACTGAAAAAAATGTCCCTACTCCGTTTTCAATCACAGTCATTTCCTCAAGGGCAGGAGGTCAGCATATCTGTAGGAGATTCTGAAATTGAAAAACTTCAGGCATTTCTAGTCATAGGATCCCATCATCAACCGTTGCAATTATCTTAGCCCAGGGATGAAGACTGTAATTTAGTGGTAGCCCAAAGTTAGGTGAATACCCTTCTATAACCTGTGGATTTTTTTCTGCCACGAGGATTTTGAAGTTTCAGAAATATTCATGAATTCTTTACATTTAAAAACAGCAGAGAACAGGGATGTACTTGGTCCTGACTTGGTCTTAATTCCCAAACATCAAAAATTCAGGAACCATAATATGGAAAGCCCTTCAACTGTGATAATAACCAAATCTGGAGGTATGTATAGTGAGGAAGAATTTTTTTAAAAAAAAATCCTTCGCCAATCCATTAAAGAAATTTCTGTCCATTTAACTATATGACTGGATATAAAACAGGGTCTTATTGGCATTCTTTGCTTTATTTTTAAAGTATTTATCTATATAGCCCCTTTTTGAGAAACCAACTCTGGGTGACACATCAACAAATTTTTAAATGATCATAAAAACATCCATATCAAACCGAACAAAAGATATTGGCAGCCAAGGGCACCAATCAATATACTACAATGCCTCTTAGAGATAGACTTTACACTCTGTTTTAATGCCAAAATGCACAAACCGATCTTTAGTACCTTACAAATAGTCCTGTCAACAAGTAAACATTGGTTGCCAAGATTACATAACTGCTACAAATAAGCATAAAAATAAGCATAATAAACCAGTGTTTGTTTATTTAACTCCTAGTTGCATTCTCACACTACATATGAGCTTTGGGAGGTCTCCTAATTTTCAAAAGTTTCTTTGGAAATATGCACAAAAGATCACTAATGTGAACGTGGAACTATACATTCATTGGTTCTATAGATAAAAGACAATTCATATATTGTATGTAGTTTATGTTATTAAATTACCTTGAATGATGTCTTCTGATTCAGTTCTTTCGGGATCAAAAGAGTTGAGCTGTGATTCTTCAACAATGAAGGAAATGAATAAATTAACTTGGAATTGTGAAGTGGTGAAGCAACTGCTAACAGTTTGCTCCTCCATCCCTCCATCCATCTTTCAGATATTGAGAATGGAATGGGACAACTCACCATGGCCAACTCACCGCGACCAACTCATCGCTGTCAACTCACTGCAGGACAATTCAACAATTCAATTTAATAATTTAATTTTTTTTAAAAATATTTTAATTCTTGTAATTCACATTCCTTTTTGTTCCTCCTTTTGCATCCTTTCTTTAATGTTTCTTTTGCACCACTTCTTTCTTATTATGTAATTCTTGTCCTGCAGCGAGTTGGCTGTGGCAAGTTGTCGTGCAGTGACTTGGATGCAGTGAGTTGTCCTGTGGTGACATACTGTCTCTGTGTATGTGTGTAAAATGAAAACAACACCAAAACATAAACAAATTCAAAAATAATTTTGGCAGTTTTTCTGATATGCATTTTTCATCATATTTTTAAAAATGTATTACATTTATTTTGCTTCCAGGCTCAATTCAAACTTCTGGTTCTTACCACAAAAGTCTAAATTACATCTTCTAATGTCAAGAAAGTTTCTTTCAATATAAATACAGGAAAGTATTTTGTGTAGCACCTCTCAGTTTTCTGATAATTTGAATAGAGAGATTAAGCCTGCCAAAGGTTTGTTAAATGCAGATAGTAAAAACTTTGTAAAAACTATTTTGTCTTTTAATTATTTTATTAGCTCCACTCTCCTTAAAGTATTTTTGGTGTATTTTATGTGACTCTTTGATTATAATCTGTTTTCATGTTTGTTATAAATACACTTTGGGACTACAGATAAGTTTTAAAACTCAACTTTTAATACTGAAGTTAATAAAGAAATGTTAACATGAAGTTTAATAGTATTGAGATCAGTGAGCTTATTAATGTTAATATTGTGCCATCCGTGTGCTTTGCAAATGAGAAAACCATGTTCCTTGCCTTCTTACAATATAAAATCTGATGCCGAAAAGTCAGAGGGAGAAGGGTAAGAGATATTCATGCAGCAAAGTTAAACTGAGTTACAGAAGGCACGGAAGTCAGGAGATTATGCCAAAATCATGACAGAAAAGGACATTTTCGAGGAGAGAACTGAATTGAAAAAGAAGTGGCATCACTCAAGTGTTTTGAGAGGCAGTTTCAAGCAATAGCAGTAGACTTATATACCGCTTCATAGGCCTTTCAGGCCTCTCTAAGCGGTTTACAGAGAGTCAGCATATTGCCCCCAACAATCTGGGTCCTCATTTTACCCACCTCGGAAGGATGGAAGGCTGAGTCAACCCTGAGCCGGTGAGATTTGAACCGCTGACCTGCTGATCTAGCAGTAGCCTACAGTGCTGCATTTAACCACTGCGCCACCTTGGCTCCTTGATTGCACAAAGGGCAATCAAGGAGAAAAAAGTTATTTGAGTAGACAAGAAACTAAATGCATTTATAAATATTATACTGTAGCTGTCCACAACATGAAGGTAGAGGGATTTACCAATGAAGTGTTTTTGATGATGATTGGGAATGGAATAAAAGGCTATCTACACAACTGGATTTCTTTGTGTAGATTCCTTGAGTTTTAAGTTGTCCTGCAAAATTCACATACTGCTACTGGTTCTTCTGAGAAAGACTCATTTGTATTGTTCTGTAGAAGTGATAGATTTCAAGGAGCAACTCACTTCTGGTGCAGGGATAGAAATTTCTGATCAAAGTAATTTAAAAAAAAATGCCAGCTAAAAGTTATTGTCTTTTGCCCCCCCTCCCCGCCCTACAACAGCTTTCAAATGAACTTATTCATTTCCAACAACTATTTCAGTGTTAGACCCCATTTAGTAACAAATGTAATACCAAATGTTCAGATACATTATTTTCACTCTTTAAGCCAAACATGGAAACAAAAGAAAATGCGCACAAGGTGTAACTGCAGTAAATTTTCCTTGCTGACACGTTGCAGGTAAAAATCTGCCAAAGTTATAACAACTATTCTATAAAAAACATTTTGGGCAGCTGTTGATTTATTACCTGCATGGTATGCATCTTACAAAAAGCAATGCTTGACTGGCTAGGTCACCAAGGTATGTATGACAATAACAATGTGTAGCAAAAGGAATATATAGAATACAGTATAAGCCATAAATGTGGAGTTCATGAAACTCACCTTCTGCACAATAGCCCATGCACCCTTCAGTTGGTTGCAGGAGATAAACAAGGAACTTCCCACAGTGTCTAACTGAGATGGGGATTTGGAAGAGGCAACAGTCTTTGGTGCTTCCAGAAAAGAATTGCCAGGTTCCACAGGCAGTCAGTGCCTTTCTCTCTCCAGGACGTGGGAGAGAATCTGATTGAAGGGATAGCCAGATTGGGGCCTGGGTTCCACATTTGTTCATCTGTGGTGGGGAAATAGTATTTAAAATTCAGGAGTATAGCACTTAAACAAGGGGTGTCAAACTCAAGGCCCGGGCTGGATTTGGTCCATGGGGTGCTTAGATTTGGCTCGCGGGGCCACCCTGGAAACAGCAAAGGACCGGCCCGCGGTGCCTCTGTCAGCAAAAACAGGCTCCCAATCTCCATTTTTGGCTGGGACGGTTTCCTACAACCTTCTGCCACTGAAAATGGAGCTCTGGAGGGCAGCCCTCCCGAGCTCCATTTTCACTGGCAGAGAGTTGTGGGAGGCCATCCCAGCCGAAAATGGAGATTGGATGCCCGTTTTTGCTGGCAGAGCACTTGGGCCACCACAAGTGCCTCTGATGTGAGTTATATCAAGCTGGCTATCCCGGTCATGCCCACCCTGCCCCCCTGAGGTCAAACACAATTTTGATACGGTCCTCAATGAAATTGAGTTTGATGCCCCTGACTTAAACAATACACTTCTTCCAATGAATTGTGGAAGCAGGCAAGACAGAAGGGGCTGACCCCCAAATGACATTCTCTCATCAGGTCTGATCATTGATTCAGCTTTTGCCAGTCAGTTTCAAGCAAAAATTGGACCTATGGTGATCTAACTCCAGCAACATCAGAACAGAATTCTGCTTAGGAGCGCAGTTAAATCAATTAACAATGAAGAAAATCTTTGTTTCTCAGAGCAAATAATTTCCTCTCTTGAGTAAACTCTATACATGTTCTGAAACAACAGAAACAACATCAAGAAGCCTTTAATGTGGAAGCACTTTTAAACCACAAAAAGGCACACTTATCAAGTCTGTTCTACATTGCTGTGACATTTCAACACTTTACTAGTGCAATATACAGTTGCTTTGACTATAACATTGTTTCAATGTTGTAAGAAGGTATTATTTCTTTTAGTGAACAAATATTACTTATCTCAAATTAGACACTAAAAATTCTGTATATAAAATATCGTAAATGATTCGAGCCATACTCTAGAGACAACACTAAATTAACTTTAAACGCTTTGCAGCTTGTTACCATAATGGAAGATGGTTACTGCTCTAAGTTTTTGTCTGTATTATTTATAGAACACATTTACTCTTATTTTCTGCCTTTTAAAATGGTAATCCAAACCATGGTTGCTATGATCCCACTTTAGCTGCCTTGTCCTTTATTCATTAGCTCCTCATCAATACCAGAATCAATGATAAAATATTATAAAATATTAATGTGATTTCTCAATTGTTTGCTGTGGGCAAAAGCAACTTTTCAGGAAAGATTTTGGAAAAATGGATTAATTTTTTTTTCTCAGATAATCACTATTACTGTACCATTCTCCCTATAAATATCTATGACCGATAAAGATTCCTGTACATTCTGCCTTAGATACTGAAAATTTCTGCAACAGCTAGAAACTGGCACTTTTTGGAAGAAAAGGCTAGGATTCCAATATCAAGATTATGTAAGGTAATAATGTAGATATATATGGAATTTCCTAGCTAGAATTTAGTTAAAGCCTGGTCAACTGAACAATGTGACGATTTTGAGAATATAGAATGCTTCTAACACTAAGAGATGATATAATTTGATTAGCTCAGCCATTATAGAGCTGCTTGATCTGTTCTTGGAATCCTGCCAATTATTATTTATTTGTATGACCAGGATTTGAGAGGTTACATTCAAATCTACCCTCAGTTACAGTAGCAGTTTGGGTAACCCTGGGCTTCATTCTTCATTCTTTCAGCCCACCTTACTTCACGGAACTGTTACGTGGGGGAAAAAATGTGCGTTGTCTTGAACTCCTGGAGAAATTGTGGGATATACAAGCCATGATTAAGTACCTCTTAGCTTCCTATGATATGTGAATCCTGCCTTGGTGATGTTTCCTGTCTTCACAAATGACACCTCATTGGAATCTATGCTGCTTTTTGAAAGAAAAATGTTCTTTGAGATCCTCACTGCACATTTTTACCATGTCTATTTTACTGCTGTAATCAGTTACACTTGAACCATTGCTGACTTTAGAGGCACTCAGTCTCTGTGAATAATAATCTTACACTGGGGAGGAAGATTCTGTTATTTGGTGAACATCTCTTCTCAACAGATGTATTGAAAGTTTCAAATGAGCTTGAAAAAAAATGACTAATGGATTAAAAAAGGAAAGCAAAAAAATCCTAGCACAAAGTGGGATATATATGGGCTCCTCTCAGCAAAATATACACATGAAAACAGATGTAAGTGGCTCATTTTCAGCTTTCAAAAACTGATGATCACATATTTCTAGAGTTAACAGTTATCGTTGCCAAGTGTAGATAAGTAAAATGATGCACAAGTGAAACCACTGAATTTGAGTGCTGTGTAATGTTTGAAAAATATATAACAAAAGTTATCTTTCTTTTGCACAATTTTGTCTGAGTTCTTAAGAAGTTCCAGCAGATCTTTTGTAGCAATAAACAAATGGCTCTTGTATTTGACAACAGGGTTGGATTAGGGTCTCCTGTAAGCTATGTTTGCTTCACTGCAGTTCTGTCAGCTAAAGTTTATATGGCATGCCAAGAAAGACACACATTAGTTCATACACATACACTGGAAGGCTCCCTCAGCACTGAGAATAATGAGAGGCAAAATAAATTAATATCAAACAATTTGACATGGTAAATTAATTTCTTGTTATGGCCTTGTTTGAAAAGCAAACCTTTTGTTTGAAGTTGATGATACAGTAATATTTATTTTAATTGGAAGCGGCAAATTGGGAATGTCGGTTAAGATTCACAGAGTATTAGTGGAACAGTTTAAAGTCATGAAATATAAACCTTCTCACTATGCTTCATCCCTTTGCTCTTGGTGCTGCTGGATATTTAAATATGTCTTTTTTCTTTTTTGTATTTGTTCATATCAGTGTGAGGCTTTTGCTATGATAGCCACTCCACTCAAAAATCCCCCACCCCTTTCCAGAGGGAACAATGAGGTAACCCTGCTGTTGTATGTTTCAATACAATGCACATAAAATGCATTCTGTGGCAAAAGATCTTGAGATGGTTTAGAATACAAAAATAATTAATTTAATTGAACAAGTCATTCATGTTCCTTGCGTACATTTTCTTACAAGTTTGTACTTCCTAGTGCTGAGCAGTACAATTATCTATGGAGGGAAGGAGGAAGGAAAATGTTCCAATCCTTGATTTGATCCAGTTGGATCTTTTCCTGCCACCTGACTACCAATCTTCTTATGCCAGCAAAAACTCCATGTACTTCTGGCCCAGAAAATGCTGCATTGTATAGGTCAGTGATGGCTAACCTTTTTGTCCTCGTGTGCCAAAATTGCACACATGCGGAACAGTGCACCTGTGCATGCCCACACGCACAATGCAATGCACCTCACCTCCCTGTGCATGCATGCATGACCCCCTGTGACCCTTTCCCCCCTGTGCATGTGCTCCCCCCACAAATGTGTGTAATCCCCATGCCCCATGTTGGGCCTAGCAGGCCTCCCTGAAGCCCTCTGGGACCAGAAATGGAGCACGGGGAGCACATTGCACCCCCATGGCCCGTTTTGCACCTAGCAAGCATCCTGGAAACCTCCTGAAACAAAAAATGGGATGCAGGGGGCCGCTGCTCCCCTATGCTTCTCCCGCGCATGCATATGTAACCCCCTCCCCCCTCATGCATGCATACCCATCTCCAGCATGCATGGCAGAGACCTAAAAATCAGCTGGCTGGTGGGAGGTGAACATGCATGCGTGGTGGTGCTGAGCTGAGCTGAGAGGGTTTCGCGTGCCATCTGTGGTACACATGCCATAGGTTTGCCATCATGGGTATAGGTAATTACAACCATAATTGTGACTAGAACTTCTGTCACTAAGCGATATGGCCTTTAAGTGAGTCATGTGAGTCAAAAAAATATAATAGTATTTTTTTTTGCCATGATAGTTAAGTGCATCTGGCTTCCCCAACTGGCTGTACCAATTGGCATCCCTTTAGGGAGGTCACACAGGACTGCAATTGTTGTAAATACATGCTGGTTGCCAAGGGCCTAAATATTGATTACATGACTGCAGAGATGCTGCAATGATCATAAGTGTGACGATCAGACATAAGTCATTTTTATCAGCATCATTGTAACTTTGAATGGTCATTCAATGAATGGCCATAAATTGAGGTTTGCCTGTATGCAGATGATACATAGTTCTGTTTTTATTCCAAAGCACTCTAGGCAGGACTATATTTGAAGAGAGCCTTGAAACTTGTATTCTATTCTGTATTAGTACAGAATATGGCAGCAAGAATACAGAAGCAGAAATGTTTTTAGCTTTTATTTTGATTTTTACCTCCTGGCTTTTGGTCTTTCTTTTTATTCTTGCACATTTTAAGCTTTTGAGAATTGCTTTTTTTTTCAAACCCGTATGCTGCTTTAACAAAAATCCAAATCAAATTCATTTTTTTAAAAGTAAGCAAGTTTTAACACTCCATTTTATAAAAGTTAATCATTTTTAATGGCATCATTTTGTTTTCCTGACCAGGTTTCAGGAAAGTGCACCAGATATATGTCTGGAATATAAAGATACAATCCTGTTAAATTAGGAATATATTTCCCACTGATTTTGAGGGTGTCTTTAAATATATAATCAACTTGTTGCATTAAAATCAGTGGAATTTTCAAGTGTTCATCATTACTTAAACCACATTCTAAATAAGGATAGAGAGAAAATTGGATCAGCTATTCTAATCTATCAAACTGGTCTGCGGCTGCAGTTTCCCCATTTTTACTCAAAAGATTAACCTATTCCTTTTAATATAAAACAGTGAGCATTTTAAAGATTTAGATGGAAAAGACAATCATACTGTTATACAAGGGAATTAGCTACACAAAGGTTAAAATAGGACTACCTGATCTGAGCTGCATAAGTCTGGATGATCATTAAATGCAGCAAAAGGGCAGCATACATTTACTGGACATCTACTGTAGGCTTCTTCATCTCAAATCTGGTAATTTTAGCTACCTACAGGTAGTTCTCAACTTATGACCCTGATTGAACCCAAAATGTTAAGTGATACATTTGTTAAGTGAGTTTTGCCCAATTTTACAACCTTCCTTGACACAGTTGTTGAGTGAATCACTGCAGCTGATAAATTAGTAACCCGGTTGTTAAGTGAATTTGGCCTCCAAATTGACTTTGCTTGTCAGAAGGTCACAAAAGGTGCTCACGCAACCCTGGGACACAGCAACATTCATAAATAAATAAATATAAATGGAAGCATTCTCCTTCCAGAGAGCCAGAGGGTCCAGCCCTGCTGGCCTATTGCAAAGCGCTAAAGACTTAGTTCTGGACCTGGAACCCTAAATGCGCAAAAGCTGTATTGTATTAAAAAGCTGTAATCCTAGTGATATTAGTGTTGTTGACTATGTAGTTTTTCTTGACTGCTACGGATTCTAATTGTTGCATTTCATTTTTTCATCTGTAGCATTGTTGATATTCTGTTTGTTCTTGTTTGCCCCCCAGAGTCATTTATTGAGATGGATGGCTCTACAAATCAATTACATAAAGAATAAATTAGTTTCTAATGTTTGTGTAATTAGAAGCTATCATGTATTTAGCTAAAATTCAGCTAAAATATTTTTAATGGAATCAGAAATCCCATTGTCTAGCCTATTTCTCACTGTTCATTTTCATGATTATTTCTTAATCTAAGCAGCAGTGCTATGGAATAGATATATACCACTCTCGTAGTTAATCTATCCAATTATTTGATGGACAAATATCCCATTTTTTAAAAAAAGTGGAAGAGCTGCCCATTTCAATTAAATGATAAACATACTAGCAGTACTCTGCTATATTTTATCTATTTTATCCTGTTTATTCAGGATTTAGATAATCAAGTGACTTATAGGCTACCACTGATTGAGTATTCACAGATTGAGTATTCCTAGTTATATGGGGAGAAATTATGCCACTGGTTTGTTTATGGTCTATGTAGATGCTATTGTTTTTAAATGTAAGTAGAGGTTCATGTCTGAATCTCTCATTTACATTTAATTGATATAGCAAGTTCTCAGTATTATCCTGGCTGTTGGTTACAGGCTGTTTAGAGCATCACATATTAAATATTCCATTTAAATTAATTGAAAAATAAACAATATCTCAGTCTTGGCATCACATGTCCTGACTGTATGACTGTATGACATATTCATTAATGTGTATTTCAGCATATTTCATTCATTTAGTTTTCCATTTCCATTAAATGTTAATAAAATCATCATCATCATCATCATCATCATCATCATCATCATCATCATCATCATCATCATCATCATCATCATCATCATTTTAGCCAATGTCTATCCACTGAAGGATGAAGGCCTCTTCAGCATGCTTCCAACCAATATAGTCCTGAGCTTCTTTTTGGTAATTGGGCCCACAATGTTGTAACTCCAACTTGCTTTACTCACTTTCATGGACACTTTTAATCAAGTGGAATCCATTCTATGACTGCCTTGGTCCACCTGCCATCAGTTCTTCTTGCTATGTGACCAGCTCATTTCCATTTCAATTCCTAATTCATATTAATTCATATTGAAATATGAGGTTGCAAAGCTTGAAAAGACTTGAAAAATTACGGCAGATTTCACATCTGGAGTAGTTTGATTAATATACCATAATTTAAATGAGATGTTATTAACTCTGCTGCATATATTTGGTTCAGCTCTAATGGATTTCCCCTTATTGAGTTAAGTAGCAATTAGCATCTAAAATATATACTTTTTTTTCCTGATAACACGTTCCTAATGCCATGGCAATGCAAGGTATTTCTGAATGAAGTAAGAGTTTTAATAGTAGAAGTGAAACAATAAGTGGATTTACACTGCGTTTAATATAGTCACTGAAGAAGTCTCAGTAGACAAATGAATGATATGAAATATTTATAAACACAAAACAATCATGAATGCATCAGATACAGATTGTGTATGTCAGATGAGGAAGCAAGCTTGTATACATGTTCTCATGATGTATCTGAAATCCTATGAAGCTCAGTTCATATATCTGTACATTTGTATATGTAATATTCAAATGAGTGGAAAGCCATCTGGATCATGTGGTAGCCTATATAGCTTGTTGCAAAGAATTTTAACAGGAATCACAGTTAGTAAATATACTTTACTCACCAGCAGTACTTCAGTTTACTAACAAGGTGTGTTTTTGTTAATCATAGGGATAACTGATTAACTGTTCTGTCCCCCCTTCACGGCTCATTAACAAACGACAGGCAGACAAACTTAAAAGGAACTTTCTTTATCAGTTCTCGGCTCAGACTGGCTTCGAGCCCAAAAATAACATAAATACAGTCTCTGACCAGATAACAGAATGAAAACAAATCTTTCTTACGGCAACACACGTTGAACAAAACGAAAGCAAAACACTTCTTTCAAAGTCTCTAAGAATCAGGGTTACAGAAATCAAAGCACTTCTCCAAGTGTATCTTCTTGAATCAGGATTACAGGAAACACAAAGCACTTATCCAAGTGTATCTTACATAAACCACGACTGATGATCAAGCAATGTTGTATGAACCAAGGAACGCACAAAGGAACATTGACTCCTGCAACTAGGGTGTGGCAGCATCCGTCCTTTTATCTCCAAAACCTCACTAATGAGCCCCAGCTGCATCGTTAATCTTGCATTCTGAAAAGACTCACAGAAGACTGCTGATGAGTTACAACATTAACTATACCTTGAATTTCATTGTCATGGGATATACATGACAACAAATGATAGCATTAATTGTTTCCTTTTCTAGAAGGAAGCTATTGTATAAAGTGTTAGATTAGAGTTTACATATTTTGAGGTCACAAATTGTTCCAAATTCAGAGCGACAAGTTTAAATGCTCACAGCAAATCATTCTATATTCCAGAATTTTTCTTCAGTTGATATCAAGGAATGTTTGTTATTCATATTTTTAGGTCCCTTCCAACTCTGATATTAACATGACATGTTATGATATATTTTATGTTATGTTACATTATATTATAGTTAAGTGAGCTCTGTTGAAGTGGGGGGGATAAGACTTTTTGTTTTAGGGATTTTTATTTTCATTAGGGTATCATGATATTATGATGATTGTAATCTTTATACACTCAGATTCATTACTGTGAGATGGCTTTAAAATTGAATAACTTTTAAAAATAATCAGGATAATTTACTTTGTGCAAAATTTAGTTCTGTTTGTTGAACCTACACATTTTAAAATTATCACAAAAATGCCAAGGAATTAAGAACACAAACATGAAAAAATATATTTTAATGATATGATTTTAATTAAAATTGCTTTTTAAATAAGCTTTATTATTTTATTTTATTTTTTAAAATCAGAACTTCTTTCTCAGTTTGAATCCTATTTTATGTTGTGGTTTAAATGAATTTTTTTTAGGTGAGGTGGTGCTTTGAATTAGAAAGTTATTATTTCTTTTGAATTACAAAGTTATCTATAAAAGAAGCAAAGCAATATATTATTTATTTTGAATCAAGAAGCTATCCATCAAAGAAATAAAACCTCAAAGGTGCTATAACCTTTAAGTCACTGATCAGAGCTGCTGAAGATTTTCCGTCAAGCAAATGCCCAATATATTTTGAATTACCTACTTTCCCAGCGGCAGATAATGCATTATTTAAAAACTTCCAGGCCAAAAAAAAATAAGAAAATAAAAAATAGGTTCTTGAATTGCTTCACATTTGACACTTAATCCAACCACATATTTCATATGGCTCAAAACATGTCAACAACAGGTTTGAGCTATAATACAGTAGAAGTCTTGAACTATTAATAATATTTCTGCCTGTGAAATGATTTTTTTGAGCTTCAGAAAGCATGAGGTGAATTCATTTGCATATAAAAGAAACAAATTTGATTAGATCTGCATAAGTATATCAAGCTGTTACCTGGATGAAGAAATTCCTTTGTGTTTCTAATCATACATTGTTCCCTTTTAATGTACCGTACCCACTAATTAAGATAGAAGAATGCATCTGAGGCAAGATGGTACCACTCAAATATTCAAAAAAGCCTTCAACAGTCTGGTGCCTATCGGTTGTTTGGGTCTGTCACTCCAGAAATCCTAACTATTATAGGAGAGGATTCTAGGAGTTGATGGGCATTTCTGTAGGGCTGCGAACTCAAAATGTCTTGGAAGAACCTGGATTTATGAAAGAGCTATTGAGAGTGCACATTTCATTCTATTTCATTTTATACTGTATGACTTACTTCTATACACTTCGTTGGCATTTCTGCAGGTTTATTTTCAATCATGAAGCGGTACCACCCTTGTGGAAGTGAATGATCACAAATCATGTCCTGAATAGCTTTTTCCTGTAATTCCAGAGAATCAAAATGGATGCTGCGATAGGCATGATGGAGAATACGATGTCCTTCTGGAAAGCATTCTGGAGCTAAGGGCAGAAAAGGAATAAAATGGAAGTATCATAACTGTCAATAAAAAAATCAATATATTGATTGTATCTTTAACTTTACATTCATTTATTAAATCACAGTTCAGTATGAATGAATGTTTGCCCAGAACATTTTGATATCTGTCTGTAGACTGCCTCTGGAAGCTAAATGACATGTTACCTTTACTAAGCAGAGTGAGCTGAATATGTACATACATACATACATACATACATACATACATACATACATACATACATACATACATTCTTTTTTTCTTATTCCAAAATAGGGATGACTGAGAATTTCATTCCGTTTGAATTCCAGTTTCAAACTTTCCAATGGATATATGTTTCTTCTTTCAGGGACTAGAAAGAATGGGTGATTTATTTTCTTTTAATGAATATATGAATTGAAGGGGAGAAACAAAAATGAAAGATGAATCCATCTTAACAGCTTGGAGGGCCTGAATCTAGCACTTCAGCTGGAGCCACTCTGTAAATGTCTTTGAGTTTGTAAATGGATGCCACTAGATTTAAATGTATTAGAAGCAGCATCAGGTTCTTTTTTGAACCTGAAGACTGCTTTGGGTTTTTTTTTTTTAAGAAGCATAACTGACACAAGATGAACCAGGCTTGTTTCATATAAATTCTGAAAATTGCTATGGGACTGCTTTAAAATAGGCCTTTTGTTGATCAAAGACAGGTCTAAGAAATGCTGATTTCAGGCGTATTTTCCAGAATGCAACATGAACACTACAAGGAGTTTTCTTGATATATTATATAAAAGATAAAGAAAAAAGTGAGCTGTGAAAACAATGCATATGATTAAATGTATAGAGCTAATGTGAGACAGAAAGACTAAATCATGCTTTTGCAGAGAATCGTGCTTCTTTAGGGGGTCTGCTTACGATAGTATTTGAAAGGGCAGAGGAAGATGGAAGATAGAATCATAGAGAAAACACAAAGAGAAATAAAGGGTTTCTCTGATGCCTGAATTATTTGGAGGCTAAGAATTCACCTAAAATTTAAATCTGAAGTAGTCTGCGACACCACAAAAGAGAATGCAAGTGATCCAAATCAAATTAGGACCATCTAAGAGGTTTCACAAATTATTGAATATTTTTGAACATTGCAGAAAGGCGATTGCTGCATCTGCTAAAAGCAACACTGATCTTTTTTTTTGTTTAATTTTTTTCATGACTGTCTATAGTGGAATTTCACTAGTCAAATAGGGAGGGAGGGAGGGAGGGGGGATGTGTGGGTTGAGGAAGCGAGGGTACCAATCTCTCTCACAACCAACAGGAATTAAAGGACAAAAGAACAGGTCATGATCAGATGAAATATAATAGACCCACAGGAAACCTACAGAACCAAATTTTCCACACATTTGCCATTGTCAATACATTATTTCAGGTGTCCTATCCCAAGTGTATCAACCCAATTTACTATTTCCATTGTTTCCTCAATTTTCATTGTTTTCTAGGCGGTATTTCTTGATCAAATATTCTTTGGTCTTCTTGTTTTCATCTTCTTTTCTTTCATCTGTTCTAGCTTGCTTGCATCTTATTTTTAAACCCAATTTGCCATTTTGGTGGTTCACTGTTTGCTTTTTTCTTATTTATTGATTTTGCATCCCAAGTATTCAGCTATAAATGCAGCCATGCTGTGCATCAGTTGATTTTGTCATTATTATTGTTATTGTCTTTTCAGTTGGGTATTAATAAACGTTTTCCATTCAAATACTAACTAGGTCCAACTTTGCTTGACTTACTGATATCAACCAAGATTCAACCAGGTCCTGTGAGTATGGAGATATTTTACTTCTTCATTGTCTACAACTGTCTTCTCCAAACTCTTCATATGTAATTGAGTACAACTCCCAACATTTTTAAGCAGAATAATATATTTGGGTAGCTCCACCTTTGAGAGCACTGGCTAATTGATCTAAGATGATAATGATGTATATATACTTTTTGAAGATGAGTTCCTAGGTGAGAATATTTCTGTAATTTCCTGTTAGCCTTTTTTGTTCTATCATGAAACCATTTAATAAAACCACAAACACAGCCTTGGTTGTTTTGTTTTTTATTGTTAGATGAACAAGAACAACAAAACTTTTCTGATGTTTTGGAATTTGCTTCTACCTTGTGGATCATAAGTTTATGTAATCATAAAATGCATTTTATGAAAAATTAAATAGCTTCCACTCCATGCCATGCTGCCACCATAGAATGTAAGCTTCTGCCAACATTATGCTCCTTCGACTTCAAAATCAAAGAAGAACGCAATTCATATAGCTCCACTACCACTATAAACTCCCTTCCTCATTCTTATTTAAATAATTTATCATGGCTTAGGGAAGTACATTTAAAAGAGGAAAGGAGTTCCGTTTTACTATGTAATCCATATAAAGTTACTCATCCAGTCCACCACACATCCAACCACAATAGTTGCCCTCTGCTACTTCTGTATAAAGACTTGACTGTTTTAAAGTTGCAAATAAGTGCAATATTCATGTCCACATGCACTCTGAAGCATGGTTTGGGAATCAGATCTGAAATACTGCACTGTTTCTATAGGAGCAGGGATTCGTTATTAATAAATAAACAAATAGATTTCTAGCAGTTTTTCATCGTAATAGAGCATGTGTCCTTGTTGCCAACATGATTAGTATGTAATAAGCTGTTATGTGTTGAAAGGCATTACAATTATAATGGTATTACGGAAATGAAAAAGCAGATTAAAACTCTGATTCAAAACATAAATACTTGAATAGGGAACCCACTGATGTTTTGTATTAATTCTATCATCAAACCACTTAATCTGGAACATCATACTACAGACACAGGACTTTGAAGTGTTTTAATATTACATAGCTTTGAAAATAAAGGTTAATTCAGTAGCATATTATTCCAGATTTGGAAGAAACAAGACTAATCATTTTCATTGTTTCTGCAGAACAAATCAGAAAGTACTGTTGATTTGCATAAAAGTTTAAAGCATTATTTAGTTGAAGGAAGGTCACCTACAATCTTAGGTTTTCTATTAGGTTATAAAAATGCTGCTGTTGCTAAAATGCTAGATAACTGTGATGTCCATTTAGCTACCAAGAAAATAAATACCTAATCATATATATATAAAAGACTGTCATCAATTAAGTAATTAATTTTTAAAAAAACTGAAGACCAACAATATCATACAAGATCCATAAGAAAAAAACTCATTCATTAAGATTAATCAAAATTATTCAAATGATTTGTAAGGTTTTAATTTTTTTGAATTTTTCAATAAGCCAGATTGAAAATAATAATAATAATAATGACTAAATAAATAAAAATAATAAAAAAGAAAAAGACTATCATTCGCGAAGAGCATAACAAACGAGTGAAAGATCTGTTAACTGCCATGAACAACATTTTAACTTCCATCCTATCCAGCACACTGTATGACACCAACCAATTAATGTATAGCACAGCGGCTGTTATAACTACAGAACTAGGTTATAAATTGCCAAAAAAGAAACCCACTGGAACACCAAAGTGGAAAATTCAACTTGAAAGTAAAATTAAAAACTAAGAGGGGATATCAGCAATCTGAAGTTCTTAAAAGAAGGAAAACTAAAGAACAAAAAGCTGAAAAATAGTTTACACAAAAAATACAACCTGGAAGAAAAAACAATAATGGAAATTATGGAAGAACTAAAACAATGTGCAATAGCAAAGCAAGGAAAATTGAAAGATACGAAGGACGAATAAAACAATATCGTGAAAATGTCCAGTTCAGAAGAAACCAACACCTCTTCTACCGGTCCCTTGATGAAAATCGAATCCAAACTAATATTCACCCATGTAAAGAAAAAACTTTGAACTTTTGGAAAGAACTGAGGGAAAACCCAGTGGAAACAACAACACTGCCTCCTGGATCAAAGATATTCAACAAGAAACAACGCAAAAGAAGATGGAAAATATTGTAATAAAATCTGACATGGTGGCAAAACAAGCAAAGAAGGTCAAGAACTGGAGTGCACCTGGCCTGGATGAGCTGCATGGATACTGGCTAAAATACCTGACAAGCCTCCATCATTGCATGGCCACTCAATTTGATCAAATGCTTCAAAATGCAACAAGCGAAGAATGGTTAATAGCTGGTCGAACATACTTGATAATGAAAGATCCAGAAAAAGGTACAGAACCAAGCAACTATCGCCCAATTACTTGTCTGCCAACAACGTTCAAACTTTTTACAAGGATACTGGCAAATTCGTTATTCAGTCATCTGATGTTTGTATCCAGTAGAACAGTTTGTATCCAGTAGAACAGAAAGGAAATTATAAAAAAATCAAGAGGAACAAAAGATCAGCTACTCAAAGAC